GTGGTTGGAACAGCCCCACAGGGGGTCAGCCCTCTGCACTTTCCTCCTAGCCTGCTATTTTGTCCTTGGAGGTGGCCGCGGGATCACTTCCAGTCCCAGGCGGGGCGCTCCCACCCCCAACCTGCCCTGGCACCCCCAAACAGTCGTTTCTCCTGGCTCCTGGTGCTTTGTGGGTCCAGCCAGAGCAGGAGAGCTGGACCTCTCTTCCAGGGCTGCTCTGCCCACCCTCCCTCTCCTCCCGGTCCCACTGAGCCGGCTGCAGTCCGTGACAGTGTCCCCAGTGCCCACCCATCCCCCATGGTCAGGGCCACACCGGTCAGCGTCACCAGGCCCCTGCAGGTGGCTCTTGCAGCCCCCGCCTCGCCCACCCCCTTGCTCAGATAAGCAGACTGAGTTGAAAATCTAGCCCAGAGATGGCTCAACCAGTCAGGGGTTCTCCGGAGACCTGGGTCAGGCTCGGGCCTTTCACTTATTTGTTCTGACAGGGTCTTGCTGTGATGGTCGCGATGGCCTGCAGCTCTCAACTTGCCTCAACCCTCCTGCTTCAGCCCCTGGAGTGGTGGGATGACAGGAGTGCGCCAGCGTGCCCGGCTCTGCCTGCCCCGCCTTGCCTGTCCGTCATGGAGGGCCTCTCTGCCACCCCTGGGGGCTGGCCTCAGAACAGCTGGGCCCAAACAGGTGGGAGGGCTCCCGGGGGAGCCAGGCACCTGGCTGCACTGGGCTGGCAGGAGGACAAACATCCCTCCTGCGTGCCAGGCCCGTTAGTGGCCCTCGTGCACCATGGCGGAACACTCCTCTCCCTAGGGCAGTGTCTGTGCACCTGCACGGGCTGTTGCCTCTGCCTGGAATCCTGTTGTCTTCCGGGCCTAATTAAAGCAGATGCGGCCTGTGAGACAGCAGCTCACGTCTGTGTCCAGGGGTTTCCAGAACTCCCTCCCACACAGGCAGCTCTTGGTCCCTTGACCCCGGCGGCACGCAGCCCCCTCCTCACATGGTACATGAAGGTCACGACCAGGCCCTAACCTGGGCAGAGGTCTAAGTGCTAAGTCCCCAGGCAGGAGGGGCCCTGGGGAGGCAGAGCCAAGTGGACGGCCCCCATGGGAACAGCTTGTGCCCCGACCTCCCTACCCCACCTCGCTGGGGCTAATGCCCCAGGCCACGCGGAGCTGGGGGCGAGGCAGTTTCCGGTTACCAGATCTGTGAGGCTTGCCTGGGCTGTGGGGCCAGGTCACCCTGGAAACCTGGCCCTGGAGGAAGAGCCGGCCACCCCCAGTGCTCACTGCCCGGCACCCAGATGGCAGGGGTTGCGCAGCACCAAAGTGCCGGGAGCCTCCCCCTCGGCAGCTGCTGAGGGGGGCGGGATGGGTGTGTCCTTCTGCCTAGCTGTGAGCCCCCTGCGTAGTGGACATGAGGGGCCGCCTGGGCCACTGGCTCCATCCAGAGCACACCTGTGGTTGACCGCTGACAGGAAAAGGAGGGCAGGGCTCCTGCTCTTTGAGTAAGCTGAGCTCTGAGCCGCGCTGGGCCATCACAGCTGGACAGGCAGATGGGCCGTGCTGCCCTGCATCTCCCTGGGCACAGCCTGGTCCCTACCCTGGCCTCCCCTCCCAGGGACGCCGCTCTCCCCCGGTCCCAAGCAGCCTGTGTTTACCAGTGGGCGGTGGACTCTTGGGCCTGGGTCCTGCCTCTCGCCGCTCAGCAGCCTGCTTCTGCTCTGGCCCTGCCTGGCCTGCCTGGCCTGCCTGGCCTGCAAGAGCAGGCTACCCTCACTCCTGGCTTCTCTGATTGTGGATCTGTCAAAGCCAGAAACCCAAACTCTGTGCCAGGCGCCACACCTCCACTTGCTCTCCGGTGGGCCAGTCAGGGCGGGGCAGAGGCGCCTTCCAGGTGGCCTTTCCACCCACCCGTGCCCTCCTACCCCCAGGGGGTGGGGCTGGCCCAGGAGGCCTGCAGCTATGGTCACACTGCTGACAGCTGGCATGGCACACGGCTGGCCGCGGTGGGGCCTGGAGGTTTCCTCATCCTCCCCAAAGGCAGAGGAAACCCTGAGGCCCATAGCCACGACGTTCCACCTGGGTGGCTCTCGGCTGAGAAAACAGGTTTTAGAGCCAAGATGGGACACAGCTCTGGAGCTCAGAGATGAGAAAGCAGGCTCCGGGCCAGGCCGGGCCAAAGTGCGGCAAGGGCGCGCGGCCGGCGGGTGTGCACTTCCTCACCCGCCCTGCACTGTCCCAGGACGGCCGGCGGTGCGGGGCGGGCAGGCGGGGGCCCGCGGCCAGGCTGCCCTCACTCTCCGGGGGGTGGGAGCCCGGCAGGTGCGTGGCCGAGCCCCGCGGGGCCCAGCACTGACACAGTCCGGGCTCAGGGCGAAGCTGGGCCCGAACCAGCCCTCCGGGAAGCCCCCGCTCGCGCGGCCCCCTTCCTCTCCGGCCCTGGCCCTCCTCCCTCCCCGCAGATTGCGGTTTCCGTGCCTTCCCGGAGTACGGCCGCTCCGAGCCCCACATCCGCTGCGAACTGGAAGCCCAGATGCAGCGCGGCCTCCGACTGGGCGCGCGGCCTGCCTGCGGGCTCGGTCGAGAATCCCGGCACGCAGCGCTGAGGGCTGGGAAGGCGCTCGCCCGCGGCGCCCGCAGGCCTCCGGGGACCGGCC